TCTCTTTAGTTACAGATGATGTAATTGTTACAAAATCGCAAGGAATTTCTGTAACAACTCAGAACTAATTGGTAAACTCAGCAAGGTCACAGGAAGTAAAGGCGCTATTCAAAAGAAGCTTCATTTTGCAAATGATTGGCTTATGAAGTTTTAAGAACCCCCGTTTAAGGCCAACAAGATGACTCAGCAGGTAAAGGTATTGCCACCAAGTCTGATGATCTGGCTTCAGTGTCCAGAGCCCACACAATGGGGAGAGAGAGCTGGCTCTGCAAGCTGTTTTTTTCACCTCCAAACGTGCCACGGGACACAAATGACCACACACATACACATAAATGTAATTTTAAAAATCTTATTTATAATAGCATTGAGAGGGAAAAGGGGAGATGGGGAAGAGAGGAAGAAACGGTCATGAAAGAGTCCATGGCTCTGTTTGTATGACATTCTAGAGTGGGCGGTAGTGACCACAATGACTGAACGAGTGAGTGGCTGGCTTCCTGGGGTGGGGACGAGAAAGGGTCCCACTCTATGTCCTAGTCAGCTTACTATTCTTGTGATGAGACACCAGGACCAAAAGCAGCCTAGGGCGGAAAGGGTTTATTTCATTCACGGTTCCACAAAACAGTTCATCAGTGAAAGCAGTGAGGGCAGGAACTCAAGCAGGGCCGGAACCTGGAGGCAGGAGCTGATGCAGAGGCCACAGAGGGATGCGGCTTATTGGCTTGCTCCTCATCACTTTCTTATAGAACCCAGGACCACCAGTCAAGGGATGGCACCATCCACGATGAGCTGGGCCTCCCACATCTATCACTAATTAAGAAAATGCCCTATAGGCTTGCTTACAGCCTGATCTTATGGAGGCATTTTCTCAACTGAAGTTCCCTCCTCTCAGATGACTGTAGGTAGTGTCAAGTTGACATAAAACTGCCCAGTGTATTGCAGAAGCTGGAGGGAACTTCTTAGGGTCAAGCAAATGTTCTACATTCTGATATATAGGTATAAGAATGTAATGAGAATAAAATTAATTGGAAGTTCTACTCAGAGGCTGGGCATGGTGGCACATACTTTTAATCCAGTACTTTGGGAGATTGAGGCAGACTCAGAGGCAGAGATTGATGACTCAGAAATTCAGAGTCATCCTTGGCCACATAGTGAGTTTGGGGCCAACCTAGGATCCATGATACTCTGTATCCAAAGTGAAAATAAAGTTTAAATTTGCTCTGAACTGCGAATAATGCCTGCAGACCTTTCAGCCGACCTGTGCAGATCTTGTCTGCTGGACCTGGGATCTGAGGACCTAAAAGAATGGGTCGGACTACAGTCTAATGCTGTAAACAATCTTATTTCAGTTTCAGTGTGCTTTTATACATGAATGTAACAGAGAAAGCAATGATCCAAGGAAGGTTGTTTGAGTTCAGAAAAACATGTAAATAAACGTTAGTAAGCACATACTAAATATTAACAGAGCAGCCCTTTCCCAGAACTTTCTCAGGACAGACTGATTTAAACACAATTGTTCGACATGTACTATAGATTATATCTAGGGAAGCACAAAGAGAAGGCAGAGGGCCATATCCAGATCCAGGGTACACTGACCGGATTGGGTTCTAGAGCTATGTGCAGATATCTAACAAGAATGGATATGTCTTAGAAGTTGAATGTAAATGTTTGTCACAGGAGGCATGAAATCACATCCAAGAACAACCCAGAGAACAAAATGCACCCGAGATGAAAGGCTCTCTGCCTTTTTTCCTGGACCCTCTCTCACAGTCCCCCAGGCATTGTTCACCACGTGTCACCCTATTGACTGTGTACTGACAGCACCTATAATCCCAGCATTCAGGAAGCAGAGGCAGAAGGATCAGGAGTTCAAGGTCATGGTCGACTACATAGCAAGTTTGAGGCCATTCTGGGCCATATGAGACCTGTCCCACCACCACCAAAGTCCCCCTAACAATAAATACATTTTATTGTATGTATATTGCATCCCAGTGAAGCTGATTAGGTAGAAAAAAGCAAGGCCAACTACATGTACCACCAGCCTGCCAGGGGTGGGGTGTAGCTCAGTGGTAGAGTGCATGCTTAGTATTCACAAGGCCATGGGTCCAACCGCTAGCATACTAAGGAGATAGCGTGAACAAATGTACCCCATATCAAGTTCAGAGATGTAGTACCCGGTTGCCCACTGAGTATTTGTCGTCGCCGACTTGGCAGGTGGAAGAAGAAGATCCTTCCCGACTCGGGCCTCCAAGGGCCAGTGGCTTCCAGTGACGCGATGCAGGTTCTGTCTTGTCTCTTCTCCCTCTGCTGCCTCTCAAGCCTCTAATTCTCTAATTCTTGTTTTGCTGCAGAAACTGCAGGCACCAGCAATCACTCACCACCACAGTGGCTTTGGGACTTCATTGATTTGTGGGAAGGTGTAAGGAGCATTTCTGCTTTAGGAGCACCAGAGGCCAGGACAGGGCTCATTTCTTTCTCTGGAAGCTTCTGGCGGCTTCACGTATAATCAAATGATGGGAAGCCAGAGAGACTTGTTTCTATCCCGGGCAGGGAGGGTAGAAGCAGTGGTGTGGAGGCAAACAACAGACGACGCCAGGCCACTGCCCTCGCCTATCTCTTCCTTCATAATAGACACAGCCTGAGCCAGGTTCCCAGCGATGGTCCTAGGGAGATTTTGCAAGCCAAGCTTCCTGGTTAATGAAAGGCCAACATTGTCCTTACTTGGCAAGGAAAGCAAGGGCAGCCTGTAAGTCTGTCTGCCAGGTTGGAACCTGCTTTCCCCGACTCTCTGAGAGTCCCTTGTCCCTGCCCACGGTGTCCCTGATTGTTTCTTAGAAGAAAATCACCTTTGGAATAAAGTCAAATTTAAGAAGCCTGCACTAGTGTTTCCAATTATGTTGAATGGTGTTGAAAACTTGGTGGTCAGTCTAACAACGCAGTGGTACCTCAGGGTCAGTAGACTGGCCAGTGGGTAGGTGCTGCCAGGAAAACATCTCCTTTCTTCTCTCCTGCTATTGTCTTGGTCTCGGCTTCTGAGAGGCAGCAGAGCACAAGGCTCTGTGACCAAAGACCACCTGTGCCTGAGTTTCCCCACTTGTGTGGCAAGGCTAGTTTAGCTGACACTTCAGAAGGAGGAATAAGAATGGCTGTTGTGGGGGTTGGGGATTTAGCCCAGTGGTATAGCGCTTGCTTAGCAAGCTCAAGGCTCTGGGTTCGGTCCTCAGCTCCGGGGGTTGGGGAGTCGAGGGGGGAGGGTGCGGGGGGGGGGGGGAAGGATGGCTGTTGGGACTGGGGAGATGACTCAGCTGTCAGCTGCCATGTGGGTGCTGAGAATTGAACCTGGGTCCTCTGTAGGAGCAGCCAGTGCTCTTATCCACTGAGCAATCTCTCCAGCCCAAGATGGCTCAGCTGTTAAGAGCGATTGCTGCTCTTGTTGAGGACCTATTTAGGTCCCAGCACCTACATCAGGTGACTCACAACCGTCAATTCCAGGGAATCTGATGCCCTCTTCGGGCCTTAATTTTAGCTGGAAATGTCTCCAGTTCCACTGGTCCCTAAGGTCTGCAGCTGCTTATAAAATAATCACTCAGAGGCTTATATTACCTACAAACTGTGGCTCCTGGCTTTAGCTTCTGGCTAGCTAACTCCTTCATCTTAAATTAACCCATTTCTATTAATCTACATATTGCCACATGGCTGTGGCGTTACCGGTCTGCTTGCATCTGCTGCTCCTTCGGCAGTGGCCTGACGTCTCTCCCAACTCCACCCTTCTTCTCTCCTTCTTGAGGCTTAATATTACTTATGAATGCTTGGCCGGTAGCTCAGGCTTATTACTAACTAGCTTTTACACTTAAATTAACCTGAGAAGTTAATCTGCTTGGATTTCCTGCCTGGCTGTAAGCTTTCTTGCCATAGGCCAAAACAGCTTTATTTATTATCTAATGGGAGCCACACATACAGCATACAGAAAGACATCCCACAGCAGTTAATAGGTACATGCAAGCATGCGCGCGCGCGCGCGCGCGCGCGCACACACACACACACAAATCATTTTTAAAAAAGAACTGATGTTTCAAACACTGGGCTGGACTGTAAAGAAAGATTTTGAGGATGTCATAATCCTAAAAGAAGAAAGGACAGTTGTTTATTGAGCTCCTATTATATGCCAGCCATGGGCCAGAGGGTGTAATAAACAATCCCTCATCCAAAAGCCTTGATCAGGGTATAGCTCATGGGGGGAACATCTGAGAGCAGAGGCCTGGGTGTGTTTCACGGGCCTGTGTTGTAATGATTTTAAAGAAGTTCGATATAGGATGTATCCGACTCTGGGTGGCACTCCATTTTCAGGTATAAAGTGTTTTGAATAGTCACAGGCAGGGACTTTAGAAGTATCCTTTAAATGGTTTGTGGCCAGGAAAGGTCTGGCTGTGCTGCCAGATGTGGTCCTGCCTGGTTGGCTTCTGATGCCAGCAAGGTTAACCTCTAGCTTTTGTGACTCTGGGGTTTGCAACTGTGGATGAGCCACTTCGGAACTGTTTCACCTGATGGCTACCAGGGACCGATGGTCTCCGTGACAGCCAGACACAGAGGTGCATTAGTTCCACAACCATTGCCCAGCTCCCCAGCCAGAGTCTCTGTCCCTGCACACCAGCCCTCCCCCAACTGCTCTTCTCCCTGGAATCTCAGATGTGCTAAGTTGTAGGTGGAATGTTTCTCTCCCACCTGCCTGTTCCCAAATACCTAGCAGCCGCCTCCCAAATAATTGACTCAGAGGCTTAATATTACTTATGAATGCTTGGCCGGTAGCTCAGGCTTATTGCTAACTAGCTTTTACACTTAAATTAACCCATAATTCTTATCTATGTTTCGCCACATGGCTTGATACCTTTTCTCAGTACAACAGTCTCATCTTGCTTCCTCTGTGTCTAACTGGTGACTCCCGGCTCCACCCTTCTCCTTCCCAGCATTCTCCTAGTCTGGTTGCCATGCCTACACTTCCTGCCTGGCTACTGGCCAACCAGCATTTTATTAAACCAATTTGAATGACAAATCTTTACAGTGTACAAGAGCATTATCCCACAGCACTAAGTAAGCACTCTATCACTGAGCTGTATTCTTAGTCCTGGCCCTTGAGCCTGGACTCCATGGCACCCTTCATGTACCTTTCCTTTCTTTAAAGCCAAACAAAACAAAACAAAAAACTCTTAAAAATTATTTATATTTTATGTGCATTGGTGTTTTTTTTGCCTGCATGTATGTCTGTGTGAGGGTGTCAGATCTTGGAGTTACAGACAGTTGTGAGCTGTCACTAAGTAGGTTCTGGGGACAGCTTACTAAAGTGCCTGCTGAACAAGTGTGAGGACTTGGATCCCCAGCATCCATGTAAAAGCCAGGCCGATAGGCCGATAGTATGCATCTGTAACTCTGGTGCCAGTGCCAAGGAGGTGGAGACAGGGTGATGATCCCTTGAGCTCATCAGCCTTCGAGCCTGGATCAGCGAACTCCAGGTTCAGTAAGAGATCCTGTTAAAACAAACAAACAAAACAAAATAAAAAAAACAGGTGAGATGTCACACTCTGGCTTGTGCATACGTGTGTACATGCTGCACCCCCACACAGGAAGATACTCACACAAACGTGTGCATATATGAGATTTTAAGTAACTTGTCCTGTCCAGAGTCAGAAATGAACTCAGCTGCCTCTGTCTGCAGAGTGGAGTTATGTAATGCTGAGCTGATGTGGAGAGAGAGCAACTCTCAGGAGTCAGGCCAGATGGAGTCACATCCTAGGATGCTGAGCCCAGCGCTGAGTCTTGCTGCACAGTGCTCTCCCCCGCTGTAATGAGGGGTCATAACAGCAGCTACCTCCCAGGACATGCTAAGGATTACATAGGCTAATTGGGATTGCCTAGAGAAAGACCCAATTAATATGAGCTACATTAGTCTCCTAGTTCTGGCTCCCCGGTTCTCAGCACGGGTTTAGGCAACACTGATTGGCAGAAAGGTCCTTGAGAACCCTCAGCACAAGGGAACTAGTGCTGGGTTCTTGTTCACAGAGTGTGGCGCTGACCTGAGGATGTTCGGCTGGAATCTCCAGCTCGGCTCCATGAGCGGTCTAGCCCCATTTCTCTTTCTCTCCAAACTCTGCCCTCTCAGAAACACCTCTAAAAAGTCCAGTTCTAAATTCCTGGAGGTTGTGGCGGCTCCTCCCCTGAAGCTGCTAGCTGCTCAAGACCCTGCCTAAAAGCGTACCATACTGGGGCACAAACCCAGCCTGTGTTAGACATGTTATCATCCCTCAACTACAGGGCACATAAACGCCCCGCTTTAGATGGTCCATGTGATTTTTCTCCAGCCCGCCTTACTCCCGCCTCAATCTCTGGGGGCTGGAGGATCACCCAGGAGTGATTTGCCCAAATAAACCTGGTCTTTTACTTTTTAATTTAGCTTGATCTGGCTTACTGCGTCAGAGGAAAAAAAACCTATTATTGGGGGGCAGAAAAGCTATTAAAGGAGAAGGTATATTACTTCTCAGCCTGGTACTCAGCATTGACTGCCTTGAGTTCTGAGGGATGTTGGGTGAAGGGCATTAATATAGCCATCTTATGGTGGAGATGCAATAATACCTGAATCCATAGCAGCATCCACCCTGGAGATGGATGACCTCATTCATTCATTCATTCATTCATTCACTCATTCATTTATTCATGTCTGCATGCAATGAATAGTGATTTGCCCTTTTCTCTACTACAGATCTGACCCTGGCACCGTCTCCAGAGCACAAGCTTCATGGAGGTCCTCAGAAAATGCAAAAGCCCTAAAAGGTATGGATGGAACACGTCATCACATTCCTCTGGGGAGGCACTAGAAGGGCTTCTCTGAAGAAGGGGTACCTGAAGATTGATCAGCAAGGGTTGGGAGATCTCAGGATAGAGAGTATCGGGAGACAAGGCCTGAAGCCAGGAGAGGAAGACTGGCAAGTCGTGAGTCCTCTGAGGCTGGAGAGTGACAGGAAGGGAGAGGAAGAGAGAGCCTGGGCTTACCGTTCTATCCCAAGAGCAATGGAAAATGCTGAACAGTTCTGAAAGGGTCGTCTTGGTGGCACCGTGGAAAGGAATCTGTTGGCATATGGCAGGACCTGGAGGTTAGGGCGGAGAAGGGTGGGGTGGTGCAGACATGGAGGGGTAAACCTGAGGCCAGGGTCAGAGCACTGAAATGGGGGAAGAGGTCGGCAGCAAACTGGCTTTGAGGGAAGCTCCAAGTGACAGGCTGAGGATGGGGTAGCCACGGCCTCTGTAGCCGGCAGGTGACTCATGGGAACCAATGAGGAGCCTGCTCACTGGGTCCACACAAGATGGGAGGGCACAGAGTTCCTGTAGTCAGGGGGGCAACAACCCCTCTGGCCTGGGCTTTCCATGTGAACCTTGTCAGGGGCCATGAGAGGGGACCAACAAACAGCATTGGAGCTTCTGGAACATGACTAGGCAGACAGCAAAGGCACACCTGAGTGAGTTGGTGAGGCAGAGCCCCGAGGACTGCGTGTCCTGAGGACCTCATGGTGTTATTGAGCATAGCTCTGCGTATCGCCCTCGTGGTCACCACATCCCTCACAGGCTATGATTTTTGTGAAAACTCTCAAGGGGTCTCTAGCCCCTCACTGGGTAGTTTTGTTACTGGTACTTACAGTAATAGTGGTTAACTTTTTCCAGGCCTTGCTGCTGGAGCAGATTAATGATTCAACCACCACCCTTAGAAAGAATTTAGACATGTAGATTGTTAGTAAGGTTAGGTGTTTTCTGTTTGTTTGTTTGTTTTAATTTTATGTGCATGCATGTGTGTGTGAGGATGCCCTGTAATGGGAGTCACAGACAGTTGTGAGCTATCGTGTGGTTGCTGGGAATTGAACCCAGGTCCTCTGGAAGAGCAGCCAGTGCTCTTAACCACTGAGTCATCTCTCCAGCCCCCAGGTGTTTTTGTTAATGGCTTTGAGGTAGAAAATCTTAGGGAACAATTTAAAGTTTAGAAAGGCACATAGTTGAGTGAGGGCCTTGTTGAGTTCTAGAAACAAGAACAAGGACAACCCAGTTATTATCAGCTGACGTGCCTTTCTTGCTCGGATGGGTTGGTGATCAAGGGTGACGATTAATTCCTTGTGCCCATTACTGCCCTCGGCTTCCTGATATGAAAACCTGTTGATGAGTGGGTATGCACCACGAGGATTGAAAGTAGAGCTGATTGTTTTTCATAAAGAAAAGTTTAGATTTGTAATTCTCTTAAGATTTTTTTCATATTGCTTGAACGATTTTGCTGGGGTATATAAGCTGTCAGGGGGAAATAAAGCCACACAGAAAGAAAACACCAGGAAAGCTAGAGAAAGGAGGATGGAGAAGGAAGCCATCAGGAAAAAGACAGAAGGGAAACATCAGGGTGGAAGAACAGAACAGGAAAAGAACAGAACAAGCAACAGAAAGAATAATAAATGAAAGACAAGCTTTTATCCCTCAGAAAAGAAGTCTGTGTGTTTTTTCTCGCCAACTCTGCATCTCATCCGCTGTCTCTCTGACCAGCAGCAGGCTGGCCCCTCTGCAGAACACCATGGCTGAGCCTAGGTTATCGAGAGCCATGGCTTGCAATTCACCTTCGGCACTAAACTTTCTGGTGCTCCTGCTGGGCCCTCCAACCAAGCCTGAACTGGTTAGGGTTTCAACGTGTGACGACCTAGAGGCTCGGCCCAAGTGCCAATCCAATATCCACCAAGGACAGCTGGCTTTCCGAGCCACTGGTGCTGAAATCCGGGAGCCCTCCCTCCCTCTGCGGGGTACCCGCCCAGAGGCAAACCAGGAAGGAAGCGCAGCGGCTGAGGCTGATGTGGGTGGGTTCGGAGGGCTCTGTCTGCTCGGTGGCTGCGCCTCAATTGCCCCGACAGCATTTTAAGAGACCCAAGTTCCCTCTGGCAGATCAGGAACTGAGAAGTTCCAACACCTCCAAGCACACCAAGCAGAAAGGCCGAGGTCCCCATGGTGACGCCAGCAGCGGACTCACATGGAAGTCCCTGTCGCGTAGCTGAGGCGGAGCAGCTCAGGCTGACCACGCCGCTTTTCCATGAGCAATTTTTGCTTGCTTCTTTGTTTTGAGACAGGCTCTTGAGCAGCTCAGGTAGGCCTCAAGTGCAGTATCTAGCTGAAGATGATTTTCAACGTCTGATTCCTCTGCCTCCCTCTCCCCATGCGGGGATTACAGGCTGGCACCATCCCGCCCAGTTTACCCAGTGCTGGGGATGGAACCCAGGGCATCATGCAAGCTAGGCAACCACTGAGCTACAGCCCTAGCCCTCCATGGGTATTTGTTTTTCTGGGTCCAGTCACCCTGAGAGAAGGTATCAAGACACTCTGCACAGGGTTGGTAAGTCCCAAGGGTTTGAAAAATTCATTAGCTTGCAGAAATGACCCCACATTTCTGTCCTTCCAAAGGAGCTGGCTCCAGTTGCAGACTTGGCATGACCACAGTGTGAGCAGGGCAGGGTTAGGAGGCTTCCATGTGAAAGAGGCTGCCACCCCGGACCCAGGCAAGGGGAGGGGACAGGCCCGTCAGACCAAGCGTCTGGTCACGTGTAGAGAGCATCTGTTCCATGCTGTTCGCTTGGCGATTTACTCACTACACCCCCATAAAGTGGATGCTACATTATTGATGTCCCCCCACTTACAAAAAATGGATTGAGGCCCCAGGACCTGCTTCGTGTGGTTTGGCTCTTCAGGGTTAGAAGTGGCCTCTCCTGCTCCCTTGGAGATCTGCCCATTCCTTCCTTACAGCTTTCATGGCTCTGCCCTCAGGCCCCTCCCACTGACCTGTGGGTTCCACCAGGACAGGGCACCGTATCTCCAGCACCAGCCCTTAAGGGCACTGGAGAAGTGTGTTTTCATTTTGCTCAATTAAGTAGGCCATAGGGCAGGGGTGGAGCTCTGTGGGAGAGCATGCACTGAGCATGTGCAAGGCCCTGAGTGAGTTTTACCTCCAGCACTGCAGAAGTGTGTGTGTGTGTGTGTGTGTGTGTGTGTGTGTGTGTGTGTGTGTGGTGGGGGTGACAGGGGAATGAGGCTGGAGAGACAGCAGGGGTGAGAATGCTGGCTGTGAAAGCATGAGGGCTGGAGTTCAGAGCCCAGCACCTATGTAAGCTGTGGGAGGTCGGAGGCAGGAGGATCGCTGGGGCTTGCTGACTACCAGCCTAGCTCCCGGGAATAAGGTGGAGAGTGAGAAAGCAGGACAGCCAAGGTCTCCCTCTGGCCTCCGCACATGCACTCCATCGGGTATGTGCACTTGCATGTGTGCATACACCACATATGCACACACACACACACACACACACACACACACACACACACACGTACGGCATACATACATATATGCCCAAATACACACAGCTTCTACCCGAATTCTTCCTCAATGTCAGGCCCAGGACTCCAGTGTGAGTAAGAAATACTCCTTATTCTTCGTGGAGCTCATTTCTAATAGAGATCAGCCGTTAACAAAGGAGTAAAGGCCCATTAAATTCCTCCGGCATTCAGTGCAGGAAGGCAGTAAGCAGGTAATCGCGTGCATCTGAAGTTCCCTTCGGGGAGGGTGCAGAGCTGGCATGAGGTTGAGACACGGAGGATTCAGAGAAATGACATTGTAAGAGGCTAGGGAGACTGTCTGGGCAGTGGGGACAGGAAGTGCTAAGGCCCTGCGGTGGGAGGAAGCTCGGATTGTGTAAGGGGCAGAAGCAGACCAGTGTGGCTGAAGCCTGGGGAGTCAGGGGAGGAGAGAGTTGGGGAGCAGCTAGGTGTCAGTGTCAATATGGAGGAGGGATGGGTTTTGTGCTCCAGGCCTGGGATTCAGCAGTCCAGTTGTGAATACATCTTAGTTCATATGCCACATGTCACCTCTCTAAGACTTGGTTTGACACACAGCTGAGCCACACATCAAGGAGGATGCCGGCTCAAACAGCAAATGGCATCAACAAGATTAAACCATCAACCATTAAAAAAGCAGAGGCAGGCAGTCAATGTGAGTTCGAGGCTGGCCTGGTTTATATAGTGGGTTCTGAGTGAAAAAAAAAAAAAAAAAAAAAACCAAACCCAAAAGGAAGGACATGGCTCCTAGGTATGGTGGAGGAGAAAGTTTATTGTTAATAAAAAGGAATGTGGCCAGAGGCAGGGGTGTATGGGAGAGTCCAGAGTGGACAAGACCCTGAGCCTATAAAGGAGAGGGGATAAGGGAGAGGGGAGTGTCCGACCAAGAGGCCAGAACGATAAAGGTAGACCAAGAGAGACCAGGTAACCAAAGTGGTTGGATTATACGGGGAAGGACATCTGGGTGAAGGGCAGCCCAGCCCCTGGGCTGGAGAAGTTTAGGGTAAGGGGTGGGGTGTGCCAGCCTGGAGGGCCCTGTAACAGGTAGGGACTGAGGGATGCAGGGAGAACATAGAGGCCAGCATCCACTTTGATATGTTAAATAGGCACCTTAGCTATTTGTCCCTGTTTGAGATCTAACAGGTTCCAGGCCAGTCGGGGCTATATAATGAGACACTGTCTCAAAAGAAATTAAATTAAAAAGTACAGGGAGATGGTTATAGGGATGCCGGGTGGTTCTTTACTCCTGGGCCTTGTGACACTGGATTTCATGTGTCAATTTGATTGGGTCAAAGGATGATACCCTGACAGCTAGTAACATAAGTTTCTGGGTGTACCTGTGGAGATTTTCTAGAAAAGATCAATATTTAAATTGGTATCCTGAGTCAAAAGTTAGACTCACAGAGAGATGGCTCAGTACTTAAGAGCTCTTGCTGTTCTTTCAGAGGACCTGGGTTTAATTCTCAGCACCCACATAGTGGCTCACAACTGTCTGTAACTCCAGTTCCAGGGGATCTGAAGCCCTCTTCTGGCTTCTGAGGGCACCAGGAATGCACATGATATACAGACATACATGCAGGCAAAACGTCCACGCACATTTAAAAAAAAGGCGGGTCCTCACTGATGCCGGCACTGTCCCATCCATTGGTGGCCCAAGTAGACCACAAAGACAAAAAGAAGAGTGACCCTCCCTGTCCCTCCACATGGACGTCCTTCTTTACCTGCCCTGGGACATTGGAATTCATGATTGGAGTCTTTGAGCCTGAAATGAGACCCTTAACACTGACTCTTGGCGCCCAGTCCCTTGGGTTTGGACTGAAACTGTAGCTTTGGTTTTTCTGGGTGTCCGGCCTGCAGATAACGGTACTTCTCCACCTCTACAGTTAAATAAATAAACAAACCTCTTGTCTCCCACCTTTCAGTTCCTCTTCCTTCCTCTCTTGTCTTTCTGTTGTTTTGAGATAAGGTCTCCATGCTGGCTGACTTTTTGTCAACTTGACACAAGCTAGAGTCATCTGGGAAGAGGAACCTCACTTGAGAAAATGCCTCCATCAGATTGCCTGTAGGCGAGTCTATGAGGTAGGCGAGTCTGTGGAGCATTTTCTTGATTCTTGATTGATGTGGGAGGGTCCAGCCCACTGTGGGTGGGTGGTCCTGGGCTGTATAAGAAAGCAGGCTGAGGGAACCATGGGGAGCAAGCCAGTGAGCACAGTTCCTTTGTGGCTTCTGTTTCAGTTCCAACTCCAGGTTCCTGCCCCCAGATTCCTGTCTTGGCTTCCTTCAGTGGAGTGTGACCAGTGATTTGTAAGCCAAATAAGCCCTTTCCTCCCCAAATTGCTTTTGGTCATGGTCTTTATTACAGCAATAGACAAGACACCCAAGACACCCACACTGTGTAGGCCAGGCTGGCTTCTAACTATTAATCCTCCTTTCTCCCCTCCCCCTATCAGGTTCTGGGATTATGGGCTTTGAATCTCTTCCTAGGTTCCACTTCTCTGCAGAACCCTGACTGATACAGTCCCAGAGTCGCTGCATCTGAAAATATGACGTGCCCACACACATGTATCAGACACAATCAATCAATAGATCAGTAAATGCACCTACCATTCTCTCCTGGAACTCGCTCTCTAGACCAGGCTGGCCTTGAACTGGGAGATCTGCCTGCCTCTGCCTCCCGAGTGCTGGGATTAAAGGCGTGTGCCACCACCGCCCAGCTGCACCTTCCATTGCTTAGCACACACTTTGTACTACTTCCTTCCCTCACCCTCCTTGCTATTCCCTGGGAGACTTGTTTGTCCTGGCGGAGTCCCAAGCGGTTCCTGGGAACTTGTTGTCCTAGGAAATCTGTCTTTCTTCAGCTGTCCTTTGCTCTAGGGTTTTTCCCTCTGGGGATGGAAGCGTGTGTGTGTGTGTGTGTGTGTGTGTGTGTGTGTGTGTGTGTGTGTGTGCTAATCTCCCAGGAGAAGCTGAGACTTGCCAGCACTGCTCAGGCAAGCTCAGGTCAAGCCAAACTTTGAACAGAGAAGCCAAGCTGGCATTTCTGTCCTGGTTGTTAAAGACAAGGCGGGGACTTGGCCCGCACCTGTGCCCTTGCGGGCACCCTACAGTCACCAGGCTCGCTCACATGCCTAGACCTTTCGAAGGGTTTTGTTCCTGGATGGAAGATTTGCTCATAAGCCCCAAGTCCTGAGTAACGAGCCTGGGAAAGTGACTGTGAGCAGGTGTTTCGTTCAGGTATCAGTCCCAGGAGGGGCGGAGGTAGGACACTTCAACTTAAGCTTTATGTCTTTATGATTCAGATTTGATATCAGCAATTAACTCCTACAAACAGTGGAAGACTGGATCACCCGGCCCCCAGAGGTGTGTGTGTCCTGGCACTTCAGCTGCACTCTCACTCTGTGTTTTACTTTATTATCTCTTTTAGACGCACTCTTGTAAGTTACAGCCAATGGCTGCTTCCCGCTGGAGGCTGCAAGAATGCCATTGATGTTTCTCAACGCTTGGGAGCGTATTTCACACCAGACAGTTGTGTTTCAGTGATGAGATGCAGGACATTCACAAACTGCCTCTAGTACAGCTCCAGAGTCGGCTCCGCTGAGGAACACAACAGTCAACAGTGTAAATGTCACTGTCCCCGGAGCTGGAAACAGCAGGTGACATAATGCATCTGTCTGGAGGCCCGCTAAGCTGCCTCGGTCCCACAAACTGGGGCTCCAGCAGCTGACACTTGGGCCCGAGAGAGTGCTGGAGGCTGGGTGTCTGAGAGCCAGGGTGGGCAGGGCTGGAGTCTGTTGAGGGGTGTCTTCCTGGCTGGCAGACAGCGCCTGCTCACATGTCCTTACGTGACCTTCCTTCTGTTTGTGTCCGCTCTGGGAGGGAGCCTCTTCCTCTGCTTTATGACCTCACTTAACTTCAATGACTTCCTTAAACATGGTCTCCAAATTCATCTCTTAACAAGGGGGACACAATGTGAGAAATACAAGGTTGGCATTGTGCAAACCTCATGGAGTGGGTCACCCATGCCTAGACAGGCAGGCCATTTCCTCCATGTAGCCCGAGGACGCTGCTGTAACGTGGCATGTAACATAGTCAACCTTTCGTGAGGTTTTGAGACGGGGTCTCATGTCACCCAGGCTGCCTTCTAACTTGCTGTGAGCAGGGGCTACTTGAGCTCTTGATCCTCCTGCCTCAGCATCCCAAGTGTTGGGATTACAGGTTTGCACCATGGTGCCCAGTTAATTTTTTAAGTTTGAATGATGACCTTGAAGAGAAAACCTACCAGTCTCTGGTCCCCTGGCATCCAACCTCGGATCCATGGAGTACGGTCGATTTCCTTCCCATGCTGTGGAGGGGTTCTTCCTGCTGAGCCCGGTCCTCTTCCACCCTTCCAGCCCAATCATGTGTGTGTGTGTGTGTGTGTGTGTGTGTGTGTGTGTGTGTGTGTATGTATATGTGGAATGTCAGAACGGAGATGTTATTGCTCACTCCTACCGGTTTTCTAGGTCTTGTCAGTAGCTGAATCTGGAAGCACACAC